ATTACAATAGCAAAATAAATAATAAAGCAACTTCACACAATATAAAATTGAACAGGATGGGCAGGCCAAATGGATGAGATAAAATGATAAAACCCTAGATGATGTAGGAATAGAAAATATGTAAATAAGGGGAGCCCAAGGAAAATAAAACAGTGGGGTAAGGCTTTCATTTTAGGACAGCATTTTTTAAATCAACACCCCACTTTTAAGTTTTTTTCCTGTCATTTTTCTCCCACCAATAAGTTTCATCAGTTCTCTAAAATCTGACATGTGTGCAACATTCCAGACTTTGATAATCCAGTCATTAACAGATAACATTTCCATAGTTCTTTTTGCAGCTGTCAGCAGATGAGAGATCAAAGACTGATGTTCATTTCATAGACCACCAAATAACTAGTTGTAAAAAGTCAGAGGATCTAGTTATACACTTCATGTTCATCTATCCATTTTTTGCAGAATACCCACCCTTCCAATGAAAATGGTCTTTATAGTGATTTAACAGCAAAAGACAAACAATACAAAAATTATAATGAAAGCATGTGCTTTCAAGGTTTTTTTTTCTTTTATTGTCATGGGTGTCTTGAGAAACTGCAAGTTGCTTCTGGTGTGAGAGAATTGGCTGTCTGCAAGGACATTGCCCAAGAGACGCCTGGATGTTTTGTGGGAGGCTTATCTCATGTTCCTGCATGGGGAGCTGGAGCTGACAGAGGGAGCTCATCTGCGCTCATCCCGGATTCAAACCTGCAACCTGTCAGTCTTCACCAGCACAAAGGTTTAATAAATTGCACCACTTGCTTTCAAGTTGCCTATGGACTTATGGTGACCCCATGCATTTCATAGCGTTTTTTAAAGGGAAGGTATATTCAGAGGTGGGCTTGCCAGTTCCTTCTTCTGAAATAGAGCCCATCACACTTGACAGTTGATCATTGTATCCCATCCACTGCAGGGCCATGGTTAGTACAACAAAAACCACCAGCTACAGAAAATCTTGTTGACTGGAAGGTTGGCAGTTAAAGCCCCGGGTTGGGGTCAGCTCCCACCATCAGCCCTAGCTTCTGCTTACCTAACCATTCGAAAACAGCAATGTGAGTAGCTAAATTGACAATAGGCTCCTTGGCATAGAAAAATGGAGCAAAAACAGCTCCTCATGGCCAAGTCAAGCACAGCCTCCAGGTGCCAGAAACCTTGCCTCTGTCGATGTATTGTCTGTCACTGTCAATTGTATAATGACATTGAATGTTTGCCGTATATGTATTCTCTAATCCTCCCTGAGTCTCCTCAGGGAGATAGAGCATAATATAAATAAAATATATTATTATTATTATTATTATTATTATTATTATTATTATTTGAAACACAACAAGATGAGTCCACAGTAGATAAGACTAACCAGGACTGACCCTGCTTCCAAGTGCAGAGGAAATATGGTATCCTTAGGGCATTTAGGTCATTTAGTTGAAACTTTTTCCAGATATTTGCCATATATGTATTCTGTAATCCTCCCTGAGTCTCCTCAGGGAGATAGAGCATAATATGAATAAAGTACATTATTATTATTATTATTATTATTATTACACAAGATGAGTCCACAGCAGACACTCTGCTGGCTATTGTATTGGATCACACGCCGGACACTTCCCAAGTGTCTAGGACTATGTGATGTATCAGTGAATAATGCATGCAGATCCCAATAAGGTGGCCTTCTGTAGCTGGCAGATGGTAATTTTGTCAGCGCCGATTGTGTTAAAGTGCAGGCCAAGGTCTTTAGACACTGCACCCATTGTGCCGATCACCACTGGCACCACCTTTACTGGCTTGTGCCAGAGTCTTTACAGTTCAATCTTTAAATCCTCATATTGTCAGCTTTTCCAGCTGTTTCTCTTCAATCCTGCTGTCACCTGGGATTGCAACACCGACAATCCATACTTCTTCTTCTTCTTCTTCTTCTTCTTCTTATTATTATTATTATTATTATTATTACTATCTATGAACTAACCAGGACTGGCCCTGCTTCCAAGTGCAGAGGAAATATGGTATCCTTAGGGCATTTAGGTCATTTAGTTGAAACTTTTTCCAGATATTCTGCCCCTGACACAGTCCATCAAAGGCTAATTCCGCCTAGCCATATTTGGCAGAGAATCCCAGGGTCAGGGAGCAAATATAGAGAAAGCTCCTTCTTCCATCCTGGCAAATGTGCCTCCAATGTGCAAAGAAGCACTTAAATCCCAGGCCAGCAAAAGTTTGTCAATCTTCTCAAATATTCTTATCTAATATATTTGTACATCAAAGGGCAATTCCATCGGAGAGGCTGCAATCCTGTAAAGATTCTCTGGGAGTAAGCCTAACTGACCATTAAAAGTGTCCATTAAAGAGAGTCGGGTTGGAAACCCTAAGGTTTGAGGCAGGCATCTTTGGAATGGTTTTGGGTTTTTAAATGATATGAAGTCAAAACTTGTTTGCTGTTGTGTTTCCAGATTATGGTGACCTTAAGGTGAATCTATCATATTTTCCCCTGGGGCTAAGGGTGTGCCTTGCTTGAGGCCTGAAGTGGGTGACTTTGGGTGACTTTGGAATAAGTTAGAGCTTTCAAAAAATTATAGGTCCTTTCACACAGCCCTATATCCCAGAATATCAAGGCAGAAAATCCCATAATATCTGCTTTGAACTGGTTTATGAGTCCACACTCTGATAATTTGGGATTTTTTTTTGCCTTGATATTCTGGGATATAGGGCTGTGAACAGGGATATCTGAGTCCACACTGCTATATATTCCAGTTCAAAGCAAATAATGTGGGATTTCACATTATGTCAAGGTCTATTTTCCCCAAACTCCACCAGTGTTCACATTTGGGCATATTGAGTATTCGTGCCAAGTTTGGTCCAGATCGATCATTGTTTGGGCCCACAGTGCTCTCTGAATGTAGGTGAACTACAATGCCAAAACTTAAGGTCAATTTCCACCAAACCCTTCCTGTACTTTCTGTTGGTCATGGGAGCTCTGTGTGCCAAGTTTAGTTCAGTTCCATCATTGGTGGAGTTCAGAATGCTCTTTGATTGTAGGGGAACTATAAATCCCAGCAATTACAACTCCCAAATGGCAAAACAATTTTTTGAGTGATGGTCACTCCTTGGGTTAGAAGGTGCCTTGTGGCCAAATTTGGTGGCAATTGGTCCAGCAATTTTTGAGTTATTATGTCACTGAAAATGAACAGAGCATTTTCATATAGATAGATACAGATGATAGATAGATAGATAGATAGACAGACAGACAGACAGACAGACAGACAGACAGACAGACAGATAGATATGGATGGAACAGTGAGCCACAGCAGGTGAAACGCTGTCCAACTCCTTCCGTTCTGTTGTACCCAAAGGGAAGGGAAGAAAGAGATGGATGGGATGAAGAGGCTGTGACTGCGCATGCGTGGGAGGGGGGCTCGTGCTTTATCCCCTCCCAACACGAAAGGCAGCTGAAGGGGAGGGGGGGAGCGGTAGAACCCCTGGATTGGTGGAGGAGGAGGAGTGTGCGCCTGCTGTGTGTGTGTGTGTGTGTGTGTGCGTGCTGAGCGGGGTCCTCTCCCTTCCCGTTGCCTTTTTAAGGCGAGCCCCCCCCTCCTCCCGTCCCCCCCCCCTCTCCTTGGCTGCGCGTCCCTTGGATCCCTCCCTCTTCCTCTCC